CAGCAGGAAGCTGGCAAAGGGATCCAGTTTTTAGAAGGGTGCAAGTTTAGGAAAAACCCAACATACATCAGATAGTATTTTAAGTGTTGGAACCTCCCCAGTCCTAGAAAACTGGCATCTAAGAAGAACCTAGGCTGGAAGAGCAGGAGGCCATGTTTAAATCTGGTGGAGCTTCTGCCCAAGTTCTGCCAGGCTGAACAAAATATTTCTAGAGAAATTTACAACTTTCCATTTTCCACACAGAATTGCTTCCCGGGTGTAACAAGGGAAGCAAACATCATTATCTTAGGCAGAATTTGACAAAGACGCCAGTGTTAATGCCCTGTTTTGTGCTATAAAAGACCTCCGATTTTAACGCTTGCAGTATGAGCGGGTGTAAATTTTACATTTGCTAGAAAAAGCACCACACATTTGGGCTACTGAGTCAAAGGGAAGAACAGCCCATGCTTTTCTCGGTGGTGTTTCCTGTCCTGTTTTTCACGAGCAAGCTGGCCTGCCTAAAATCTCTGTGACCAAAGACATAATAACACACCAAGAGTAATTGCTGAGCTGGAAGCTAAAAGGATACTGAAGACCTTTCTTCATGATTTAATTTACCTTCTGGATTTATTTCTGAATCACTGGTGTTTCCAGGGTCTTCCTTAAGAACTCCCACATCTTTTGCCCAATTCGTCCATTTAATTTCCTCTACTCTGGAGAGACAAAATGCAACAGACACTGATGCATGGAGCACAGCATTTCAGTCCAGATCTCATTGTCCTGCAGCATCTCAACCCAGCTCATCCTGCCAACACAATCCTAATGGCTTGGCTGTACTGACAACATGCTACAGAGCTTTTGAATAAAGATCTTCTAAGCTCCATGAGGTAAATACCTTCTTCCCCTGCATATTGTGTGGTGGTCTACGTTGTTTTATTTTAAAATACTCCAGTTCCTCCCAGTGAACATCCTTAATACAAAGGAGAAGATTCCACTTTGTATACATGCTCCATAGCCCATAACACCTTGGAGTCACAGAAGTGCTGCCTGCAGTTCGGTTTGCCTGCAGTTTGTTTCACCAGGTGGGGAAAGGTTCATCTGCTCTCCCAGCCCCTATATGTGAGGAAGAGTGCTGCCCCCTCGTGTTGCACCCAAGTTGCATGTTCCTGAGGGAAGGGGCCACCAGCCTGCATCCCTCCCACCACAGCCTGCTCTGGGTACAGCTATACTCGCAGCAGCAACGAAAGCATCATTGCAGACACTCTGCCACCATAATCGCTTGCACAGATGTGGGTTAAACAGGACATCTTTTGGTGACAGCATGTTTTGGTGACAATGCTGGTGGCTCAACTAGCTCTGACACTTCCAGCATTGCAAGCACCAACCAGTCACCAACCCAGGAACCCGTGGTTGAGTCACTCCACTGAGTCAGTGCTGAAATTCCCCGGGGCAGTTCAGGGCTACCAGCTTATGAATCACAGGATCCCGTTATTAGGCTGGAGTATAAGAGGCAACGGTACATCTGTCTTACCTGAAACACCATCTCTCATCTTTCTTATTGAGGCCCACTGACATGAAGCAGCCAGATCTCCTCTTCCCACCCTGGCGCCACAGCCAGGCCTTCTCTATTTCTAGAATAGCAATAGCCCTCTGAAAGAAGAAGTCCACATTAGAGAGAAAACAGGGCATACAGAGCCCAGCCCCTCTTTTTGATTAAATCTTCCCCACTCAGCAATTACTCTGACTTAGAAAATCACTTTGGAACCCAATCCCAAAGTGCTCCTTAGCTTAATAGTACCAGTCGGTTACTTACTCTCTCAAGTTACTTATGCACATGGATCTGGACCGGCTGGTAGCCATGCAAACAGCACGGGTTTTAAATACATCTAAAAACGACATTAGGATTTACCCCCAGAGTAACAAATTTATGTAAAAGAGAAGTTTATAGCTGAGGCTTAGGACAAAGACAGGGACTGTCATCTCTGATGTTGGCAGACTCAAGCAGGAGTTTGGCCCACAACAGAACTGCCGAGCAGCACTGCATCTCACCTGCAGCTTCCAGACGCTTTTGCTATAACCAGAAATATCTGTGACAGTCTCGCTCATGAGCGCAATCAGCATGTTGAGCAAAAGAATGTAAGTGAGGATCACAAAGAGAAGGAGCAGGAGCATGACGAAGTATCTGAATCTGGCATGTTCGTGGAAATCCAGGTCGCCCATCCCAATGGTGATCTTGAAGAGCTCCAGGGAGACGCTAAGCAGCCCGCCATACATAGCATGGCTCCCAGCGCTGTCCATGTGAGCAAGAGACTTGTTCTGAGAGACCGAAGGAGCATCCCCCATCAGTGTAACCAGAGCTATGAGAAAAACAGAATTTGGATCCTCCTCAGAAAAATTTACTCCTTGCAGCCCAGCCTACAATGTGATGCTGAGTAAGTCCTTACCTGCAGCAAAGCCAAAGAGGAAGATCACATAAACCAAGAGGAAACGCAGCAGATCTCTCAGGATAGTCTGAAACACAGATCGGGAGGAAATGCCATTCTTTACCTCACATGAATTCTTCAGGGTGATCTCTTGTTCTCACACATCATAAATCAACCCCCAGTAACAATACTGCAAGCAAGTTGGAAAATGCTTTTATCCAGTTTAAGAAACTGCTAATACATGTTAAATTATTTCCACAGGTAAGTAACATCATTAGTAGCTTAATCTGAGAGTACTACATGAATTTCTTCGTTGTTATGTTTGCATGAATATGTTATTTGAAACAAATAAATATCATGTCAGTTCCCCAGCATGGTTGTTTCCAAATTGTTTCAACACACACATCTCTCTCTTTTCTGTCTCCATTGGGTTTCACACAAGTGGTGATCAGAATTCTTCCCTGGCACCTCATTTCACCTGCTTTGTCTTGCCTTTCTAGTCCCAGACTCCTTTACTGACTGGAAACACTTCTCAGCCCAAGCATAACAGTTGCAGGGAACTTGCACTGGGTTTGACTGCTAGTTTTGCGTCATTTTATGACAAACAGCTAAGTGTCAGCTGCTCTCACTTGCCATATTGAAAGATGGCAAACTAGTGGTTTGCCACAACTGTACTTCCTTTAGGACACTTCTGCAATTTCTTTACTACCATAATCATTACATCAATTCCATTTATGGTTTTCATGATCCTGAGAGAAGAAAAGTAATTGCAGGACTGCTATTAGTTGCTCACACCCAAAAGCTTTTCACACAAAGTTCTTCCCCGAGTACTGACCTTCTGTATCATGACACTGTAGATCCCAGTGCGTTGAAAGCCCCGAGTGTAATACAGCATGTTCACCCACCCCAAAAGCAGGGAGAACACCATCACCGCCACATAGTTTTCTGAACTTGCACCGTAGAGGACTGCCGAGAGCAGCAACGAGAAAGCCTGGATGAAGCTGGAGAGAAGTAGAATGAGTGACACAGTGAGTTACCTCAACAAAAAGGCCCATTTGCAGATCTGTTCTGTTTTGCAAGGAACAGCAAACACGTTTTACAAGGCTACACGAAGCATATAAAGTGGCAGTTAATCAGACACATAGTTTACATGAGCAAATCCTGTTATAACCAGACCCACAAATTGTTGCAGTTTTGTTATGAACTGGTTAATCTCACAGTATGGAAACTCTGAACGGCTTGATGTAACTCACATAACTGATACTAAAATGTTAACACTTACAAACACATGCACACACATGCATCTATACATATTTCTCCTCAGAAAACTGAGAAGTTATTTTCCTTTCAACCACATCTGAGCCATAGTGACTGCATGATTAAAAACTTGAGCTCTTTTTCTAACAACTACATGTTCTTAACTGCGGAATAATTGAGGGTCTGACCTTCACTGTCTTCAGCTACAAATCCAAGGACAGACCCTACCCAGCAAAGTCCATGACAACAAAGGGTTATGACACGATGCAGAAGGCATGCAGAAGCAAGCAAGGAAGGGATGGGAAGAGGAGACAGTGGCAGAGAATCAATCTTTCCTGCTCACCATCTCTCTAGTAATGTTAGGGCAACTTAGCTGCACACAGCAGAGAACCAATTTCACCCGTGCTTTCATTGTGCAAAAAAACCTCAAGAGACATACATCAAGATCTCAATGCAGCTGTCAGAACACATAGTCTTCAGGGACTGGCGTCTCCTCCGCAAGTACAGACTCTAATAGAGAAAAATCAATGGTAGCCATTCATCAAAACAACAGGGTATGTTAGGGAGCGATTCCTGCCCGGCACAGCCTATCGCTCAGGGGGTTTGCTCCATAAGCTCCTCTTCATGTTTCATTTTCAAGATCCCAAATTTGAGCTATTCATCCTTCCAAGATGAAAAAAAAGGCCTTATTTATAAAGGGCAGGGATAAACAAGGGCTGAATCACGGCTCAGCCCTGAGTCTTTATTAATAGACTGCATTAAATGCCAAAGATGCATTTTAGTACCATAAATCACAGAAGTCTCTCATAATTACTTACTGTTATGAGCCTATTCTTCCTATTGCCCAGCAACCTGGCCTGTGCCACCCCCGTCACTGCGAGATCACACTGACACTGTGTCTCAGGGCAGGATTCCCTCCTGCCATCCAACTCATGCACATCGAGAGAAGCAAATCTGTTGCCTCAATGTCAGTGATGCTTTCCTTTTTTTTTTTTCCCCTCACAATGAACCTAGACGAGAGATACCCATACCTGAGCAAAAATTAGATAAATGCCTCCTAGCAAGATAATGATCAGTCCAGAGACCCACAGGAAGCCCCCAGCCGTGAACTCCACTGGAAATGAAGGCTGCAAGATAAAAACAAACAAACAAAAAAAAAAACCACTGAAGACAGGCAGAGGTAGTGATGATAAACACCCCACACCTTTTAAAATCAGCTCCATCTATTCAGGCCTTTCCAGATAAAAGAAGATTGGGCCTACCTTTACCCGCAAGGGTTGATAGTATGCAATGGCTGTGAAGATGATCATGAATGACAAGTATGAGACAAAACTGAAGTAGAATCTCTTGGAAGCGAACGTTTCCCATTTTTGCTGAAGCAGTTTGTTTAGTGGCTCCAAAACCACCATCTTGTACCGATTCTATGGAAAAACAAACAACAAAAGTGTATCCATGTGTCAACAGGATTGCAAATTCACCAGAGGATTGTCTTTTTCAGGGTTGGAGTTCAGTGGCTCCAACTAGATTATCCCTAAAGGATTATTCAGTCAGGCCTTTCAGTATGAAAAACATCAACTGTCCCATAAGAAGTTACTTCTGCTTGGCTTCATCAAGGTATTTGGACAACCACAGGATCAAGAATTTCTCTCATACTATGGATTAGCAGAAGCATACCAAGCAGACTATAAATAATAAAATATGCAAACACTTCAATCACAGCGTTCTTTTCCAGAAAAAGGATCACGCGAAACACCATATCAACTTGAAATTATTTGCATAATTATACAGCAACACTATAGATAGGCAGAAAAACTGTTTCTGTCTTTGACTTTTAGTAAAAGCATTCACCGGTGTGTCACTGCTGTACGCCAGAATCTCCAGCACAGAGTTCTCCTCAAAGCTGTCTATAGAGGACAAGTCGTAGAGAGACACATGGATAGGTCCATAGGTCCATTCAGTGAACTTGCGTGACAGGTGCCTGTACACTGGGTCTTTGATCTCTCTTTGGATGATGTGCTTGAAGATCTGAAGAGAAACAGGATGCGTACTAGAAAAATGTGCATGTGATGAAGGTGCTGAATGACACAAGTACACCCAAATCACCCTCAAATACAGGACACCTGGCTTTCTGTATTACACACTTGGATATATCCAAACACCAGAGTATCTGGCTAAAAGCAGGCAATCTAACTACACCTTGTATCAGCTCTTCCAGGCACAGAACCAGTTTCAGTCCAGACCAGCTGTCTTGGCTGGGACAGAGAGCAGCAGCAGCCAGCTGAGATCCTGCAGGACCCTAACTGGAGTGACCTGGAGGAGGCTTCCTTTACTGTCTCCTGTGGCACTGCCACTGTCAGCAGCATTACTATGCGTTGGGTGCAAGACGCTCCTACATCAAACCCCACTGCTATGCCGAGGATGTATGCTGCAGTCTTCCTTGTTTTTCAGCAACCCCAGAGATTCCCTGCATTTGTCTTTACCTCCACTTTGCCTGTCTTGGCAGCAAGCTGCAGAGGATTTAATCCATCATAATTCACTATCTCCTCCAGCTTCCACGTTGGGTCAACCTTCACACCTGCCTTCAAGATCTCAACATATGTTGTGCTCACAAACTTGGTGTTCTCCTCTGTGTCATCTGCAATCATCACCAGGGCATGGAGGACTGTGTTGCCCTGTGTATCCTGCTCCTGGAGCCTGGCTTTCTGGTGGGGATTGTTTAGAAGATATTCCACCACCTCAAGCTGGTTGGTACAAGCAGCCAAGGAGAGAGGAAGTTCACCTGGAGAGATTAGAACAGTATTTGGAGAGGAAGCAGAAAGGGGTGAAAAAAATTAAAGAAAAAAAAAAAACAAAACAATTATAGGAAAATATATTCAGCCTATAGTTTTACCACTGGAACACAGAACAAGTCCTTTCTCAGTATCTCTAGATTCAGAAAGGGTTTTGCAGTAAACAATCGCTCCTTATTTCTGGGGGCAGCTGAAACACTTTCCAGATCCCTAATTTGACTAAACTAACCAAGCACTTGTCTCTGTCTGAAGCCTCTCAGATGGGATTAAAAACATAAAACCAGAGATGATGGCAAATGCTCATGGGACAACTCAGTCTGTGAAAGGATCCTGCCTCTCAAATAAGCCAAGAGCTTCATTACAGGACAGTGGAGATGGCAACCGACCCACAGAGGGGCAAACCCAACTAAGAATTAGCAGCATCGCATACAGTAAGCAATAAAAAAGCAAAGGAACGTGTTCCACACTGACTCACCAAAATAAAAGTAAACTCCTTCTTTCTTCTTCTTGAAGAATTCACCATGGGCTCTGGCATGGACATCAGCTCCATTCTCTACTAGAAGTTTCACTAAATCTAGGCTTCTTTTCTCTATGGCAATATGGAGCGCTGTTTGGCCTAAGGAAACACGCAAAACCTATCACTCGGTGCCACTATCAGAGGGAACAGGCAAAGGACTCTTCAGCAAAGCCCCATTTCAACAACGGCTGTATGTTCTGCATAGCAATCCTGCAGTCTCAGTGCTGGGCAAGGGGCAGGTGGCAACTGATGACTTTCAACAGTGTTCATTGGAAAAGCATGTTGCAAACACTGAGCCAGAAGACAAGCCCCAAGACTACAAGAAATTCAACACAAGACCAGGCAATTACCCCTGCCTGGCACTAAGATCCCAAGCAGCTATGAGAGGATAAAGACAACCATACATGTACATGACTATGCTGCATGTCTGCTATTAAAACGATAACCCAACCAGCAGATGTCATTCTTTAATAGCAATATAGTATTTATGTTTCACTTTTAGGTGTGCTTTTTAAGCTTTCCAAAGCAAATCCTCCCATATTCCTTAGTTATTAAACATCTATCATTTCTGTTTTACAGACTAAGAACAAAGTTGCAGAAGTGAACCATGTAATTCAGGGCTGAAGAGGACACAGACCATAATAAGAACTAAAAGGTGAGTAGGCTGTTACTGGAACTGCACCAGAACTCTGGAACTGCAGTGCTGCGTGAGCTCCAGTTTCCCTCTTTTCCCTTGTATCTGCACATCTCACCTGGTAATGGGGAGGCTGCTTCGACACAGCACCAGAACAGGAACCTTACCTCTGTAGTAACAATCAGAGCATGCCACATTGACAAGTGGCCTGGGATTCTGTGTCTTTTGGTCTATTTCCAGCAAAAGTGGGATTGTGTCATTCTTTCCATTTTTTAAGTTCAACAGGGCTTTCATTAAGCAGGTCTTCCCAGTCTTTGCATCTAGTAGAAAAAGAGTATCAAACGGGGTGTGCATATACTTTGCACACATTTGTATTACCCAATTCCATGTGCCCAGAACTTAACTGTCACTGCAGGATCAAATACAGTAATAATTTTAAAGGCCCTTCTCAGTATTTAGTCTGCAGTAGAGGCAAAAGCCGTAGGATATATATAATTAATGACATTTCCCATCCTTAGATGAACATTAGGAAAACAAAAGAAGGGGGAGAGACAGAGGGCTGGAGAAAGCAAAACACCCACAAGCAGGTTCCCCTGCTTTTCCCCTCCATTAACAAGTATTGCCTCTGCTAACCCTCTTTATGTAGTATTGAACAGGAATCTACCTGTGTATTCAGAATTGGTGAGAAATTTGGAGGTCCTCCTTAAGTACTCAAGTAAACCATCCAGTGCCTCGGGGCTGCCCCTTGAGACTGCGCTGAAGAGCCTGTCTCTGTCAAAGCGATTGGGGTCCTTTTGGCTATGGAAGAAACGCAAAGCATTAAGAAGTTCTGGAGAGCAGAAGACAAGAGTGGGCAATAAGTTCTAGCGGGACAGTGTAAGAAAGGAGGAAGGCAGAAAAGTTTGTCAGAAAAAACAAGTATTTTATTTTTGAGTCAAGGGAAAAACAGAGACAGTTATTTCCCAGAATTCTCTTAAGGGGCTGCTCTTTCCATCAGCTGGAGCTCTTCCCAGATCCAGTCTGATGTGCAACCCTGGAACACATCCAGAGCACAAAGAAAGAGAAGCCCAAGATAGTTGCAGGACCAGAGTCTGTCCCATCACATGGTGCGAAGCACCCTGTGAGCTAGTTTACATCCCTCCCTGGCAAGAACAGTTCAGTTGTATAGGACTCTATGCTAAGCTGCTCTTACACCCAACTTGGCTTATTTGGTACTAGTTCAGATAAACTTAAAATACACCACAACACACATCATTCACATACCTTCCAAGTGCAGAAGGAAGGGGCTAATATGTCCTCTTTCTGCTTTTAATTATCTCCCACACGATTCCTGTAATATTCCTGTATTGTCACTTTTAGTTTAGACTTCGGTAAAGTCTATAGGCCCCTACCAGTGGGATCAGTACAGACCAACAGGGATCCCACCCTCGTCAAATATCCAAGTTACTCACTTGCTGACGAGTCCTGGGCGATAGTTCAGATTAATCTTGACTTTCGGAGGAAAGTCACTGCTCTCCTTCTGATAAGGTGTCTCCAAGGGCCGTGGCTCTCCTTTCTTTCCATGTCCTGATCTTTCTTCCTTTTTACTAGATGCGGGTTTATCTTCCTGGATGCTGTCATCTGTTTCTAGCAATCCCATCAACCTGTTCCTTTGACCTGGGCCCGACTGCCCATTTGTGAAGTTATCCATTTCTAGTAGAGATGGTTTTGCAGATCACCAAAGACGTTCCCCGCTTGGAGACTAAACCTGCAAAGGACAGGGAGAATCAACACAGTTTGTTCACAAACCTAGAATGTATATGATGTGGCACAGACATAGAGAAAAGCATGTTTATAGGTCCAGCATTCCTACAGTTGACTATAGATTCCTTGAGAGAGAGACTCAGTGAAACTCCAAACAGTGGGAGTATTTGAATAAAGGATCAAGGCCTTAAATAGGGTATATCACTGGTGAAGAAAAGTTCAAAAGCAGTTCATGAAATACAGGCAACTTGTCTGCAGAACATATGAACCCCCTTTGTGAGATGACCTCACCTGTTGGCAGCAGCACAGGCTCCTTACATAAAAGGCAAAGAAAGTGGATCTTTAGGAGACTACGATCATTGTTCTTGTCTCAGTGCAGCCAACACAGCCTAGTCACCAAGTGGCCAAAAAGATAAGATTAACTGTAGGCCTTCTTTGGAACAGTGATAAGTTTGTTCATGTTCTCTGTTGGTAAGCATTATGCTATTTCTACAGGGAAAACATCCGCACAAATTATGTTCCTCTCATGCATTCTTGCATTTCATCCTGGGGCTAAATGAGTGGGATCTCCCCAGTGTTTGGAGCTGTTGGCTATCCATGCGAGCACAGGCTTTGAACTTCCAGCCCAAGCAAACACAAACCCCAGCTGCCACGTGGACACTCAGAGCCCCCAGAGCCTGAACACAGCACAGCCCCCCCAAGAGCAAAGCTGGATCCAGACCTGCTGTACAGAGAGCATCAGTATGCATCAGAGCACCCAGCCAGCCCACTTCTCTCATCTAATACGTCCTGTACTCCTTTTCTACTCCTGTGAGACATATCTGCATACATATCTGGATACATCTCAGATCCACACCCAATACAAGCTGACTGTAGTCAGGATACGACTGCAGATTCACACACAGTTTGTGCGGCAGCAAGGAAACATCCATGATTACCGACCTGAAGCAGAGCTTTTTTAAATAACTCTGTCTTATTCACATGTACTCCCTCCAAATGGTTAACAGGTTTTCTCTGAAGAGAAATCTCGCTTGCTGGGACTACGGCCAGACTCCATAGCCTGTACCAGCAAAGAGGTAAATTGACATAGCATAAGCATTCTGGCTTAGATTAGGATACGGAGAAACACAGTCCTAGGCGGAAAGCAGCCACAAAACATCTTTATGCAGCTCACAGCAAGAAATCCAAGGGCTGATTTTAAGATGAACCATTATGATAATTCAGCCATTCAGTTTAGTCTGCACTCTAATGACAAACATTCCTCTGCACGCACAGGCATACATCCTATAACCCCATTTCAGGCTTATTTCCTCCCCCAAAACACTTACTGGTACATTTGCCAATGCTTTAGAGGGCTATTTGCTCTTCCATAATAGTTTGCTTGTGCTTTTCTGTCTTCCTTTCCCCCAAATCATTTCTCAGCTGCGGTTTCCATCTCTCCACAGCGCTCGAGAGTGTTATTTACTGTCAGTCTTGTACAGACAGACCGTCTGGTTTAAAAGCAAGAGCAAAATGGTCCTAAAAAATCAGGACCCTATAATATATACATCCACTTTGTGCATACTGAAGAAACACAGAGAGGACTCTGTTTGCCAGCTAAACTTTCACTTCTCAAGAGCTCAGTTTTTTCTTTCTGCAACTTTACCAAGCCATTTTGAGCAGCGCAGCACAGGAAAGCTTTGCTGTCAAAAGAAGAAGAGCACAGCACTTACCCCAAGTTGCCGCAAGCTCCACCCAAGAACTGATCTGACAAGGAGTCCCAACGGATCCTTCAGAAGGTAAATAATCTCTCAGTAGAAACCAAGTCAAATACCAAGAAGCATTAATAAGCATGAAAGCAGATCCCAAATTATTTACATCCATGGGTGATAGTCTTATTCTGCAGAGAAGACCACGCTCGTATCAGCACTCTGTTAATGGCACAATGTTGAACTCCTAGTTGGTGGTGGTCCATGAGAGAATCCAGGCTGCCTGGGAGAAGGAATAACCATGGATTATTATTTACTCAACAGTATAGCTTTCTGCAAAGTGAAGAAGGGCTTGCACAGGAAATGACTAGATGGATTTCTCAGTAAAAGAGAGAGCCAATGAGTGCAGTGCTCTTATATGGGAAAGCTGGCTGGCTATTGCAAATTCATAACGCTTAACCCCTGCCTGCACGTACAGAGGCGACATCTCGTGGCTTTCAACAACAGCCCACTCAGATCTCAAGGGAGGTGGCTGATTTGACCATAACAGTGCTAGAGCCCATGGTTTAGTTGTGAGGTTTGTCACAAGGCTCCCTCAGCCCCAGGACAAGCGAGTACGCATCGAAACATCTGAGGTCAACTGTTTCTGTGGGAAGCCAGTTCTCCTCACACTTCACACACCCCAGTTACGAGGCAGCTCAAACCGTATGAGACAATAAACTAGCCAGAACGTTACACTACAAAGTACACAGTGTCAGCTGCTCATCACAAGCACAGAAGGCTGCACAAAGCAGCCCCAGTTCCAAAACACTTAGGCCACGGGTAACTTAATTTACCCCTAGTGCCCATTTCTTGATGGGCTGGTTCTCCAAAGCAGCACAAGCCTTGGAGGGGCTTGGAGGTTCTAGGAGCACGGACTGACCACCCCTACAACTGACTGGAGCCGAGACCACGCACACACAGTAATACCCCCTCACTTATCACTCACAAACCAGGACCTCTGGGAAACAGAGGACATCAGCCCACACCAAGTGCCTTAGTTTTTTCTCTCCCACTCCTAACAGAACTGAGGCCTGAGGAGGCAGCGTGATCGTGATTTCCCACAGGATCCATGCAGGATGACATTCAGCACCCACAATCTCAACGGCGTTCCCCAGCACAATGTTGCTGCGGAGTGATTCCCATCTGTACTCTGTAGAGGAGTGACAGTTTACAAAGCCATTTATGTGACACAGAGCTCACCTAGAGAATCTTATTAACTAACAAAACGGTAAAGAGCTCTTCTAATCAACAGCTTGATAGCAGGGGCACATTCCATGAGAAATCTCAAAAGTCTTGGTCCAAAAACATTGAGAAGGGGGGGTCATATCACGACATACTGGACTCTGGCTGTGTCTTTCTTCTTCCAAACCTACCACGAGCTAACAGAGAGCGTAAAGCAAGCCTCATCTGACACGGCTGCAGGATGATGTGGGGCTTCCTGAAATGTGGCTGTCACCCTTAGAAACATTCCCAGATGGCTCCTACTTTGAGTCAGATGCAGGCTGCGAGATGACCTCCCTATAAATACACACACTAAACGGCAGGGTGCCTTTTCCTCTTTCATGGTTTTGCATGAGATCACAAGCTTAATTTCTCCGATTCCTGTGTTTCACAATTAAGCTGATCCAGGAACGATGCAAAGCTACTTATTCTTTCCAGGCTTAATGATTTATAGGACCCACAGAATATCCTATAAAGAACAAACATATGTAGATAAATGCAAGACCAGATCTCATCTCTTCTCATTCCAGCCTTGCACTGATTTAGTTCAGTTTGCTTTAGTTGTGTTACACTTAATTTACTGTGATATCAACAGACAGATTCAGGCTCAGGTTTAGCTGAGACTTACGGATTTAAATCCTCTTGGGCTTTTCCTGCAGCTTTCATGGGAGTCAGCCCCCCATTCTAGCCGAGGAAACAAATCAGCCCACAAAAGTGCATCGTAACAGAGTTCTTTCTGCTCATCTGGTTTTAATAGCTTACACAGAGGAAGGAGAATGTGCAGCTTGCTGGGAAAGGAACCACTGCCAGCTGTGGGGTCACCACAGCAAAACAGAAACATGGAGCTGCTGGGGGAACACAGAAACATTGGTATGCGCACACACATGCGCACACGCTTTCGCGGAGACTACACCAGGGTAAACACTTGCGCTTCCATTTCAGAGAAGGGAGAAGCAAGGCAGAAAAAAAATACAAGACCTGCCCAAATGCGCACTTGCCAGTGACAGCGTTCTGAGGTCAGTAATGGGATTATGTCACTGCTGTGCACTGGCCAGCTGAGCCGGTTATGATGCTTAACGAGCATCTTGCCACCAAAATTTAAAATCCTGATAGCTATTAGGACTCAGGAGGAAGCCCTCCAAAGCAGTGTGCAGGGAGAATAAAAGAAGCAATTTTATTCCCCCTATCTGCCAGCCTGCATTTTCAACAGCAACATGTGACCCTCTTGCCTTTTGAGGCTTTTAATTGAGGGAACAGGAAGGAATCTTGCAATTGCTCTGTACTTATTTTACTGATGAGAATGTGCCTGATGGCGCTAAGTTTCTGCCTACAGGAGAGACACATTCTGTGCAAGCCTTAAATCTGGCAAGAGAAATCAAACTCATAACTACTAAGTGAACTTTTAAGTCAAATCAATAATTTTCATTTCAAGATATTACCAAATATTTTCATAATTATTATATAATTGTTGGTCATATATGAAGAAGCACCGTAATTCATGGGAGGAAAAGCAATCACAGAAGGCAAAAGGAAGCATGAGCAAGATGGCTTTCTCCAAAGATTGAAACAAACACCTTTCCTAAAATATGTATTCTCTGTTCACCTAAGTGCCCATATTTACCAAATACTGAAAAATGTAACACTTATGATTAATATCAGATTTTCTGTATGCTGTAAATAGAAGATCAAAGTCACTTACATGTGTCTGTAGCTTAATTACAGCATTGATCTGCAGCCACTGTAAGGGGCCACAGCTCAAAATCATTTCCACAGGAGGAGGGAAGCCTGTAATAACAGCACATGAGAGGGGACCACGAACATTTTCTCCAGAACAAGAGGTCGGTCAGCACTTCGTTCAAACCTCATGAAGGACACGCGGCTAAAAGAGAAAAATGTTTCTTTTGAAGGTGTACTTTCACACTTGGGAAAATATCATGTATTTTTGCAAGGCCAGCCTTTTTTTTCGTGCAACTGCTATGTAAAACCCACACTGAAGGGATGAATTTTAGCAGCTCCATTTGTTACAGTTCCGCAGACGAAATTCTATCCCTCTAGAGACACCAGCCAGTGCCCAAGCTAAAATCCAAATATTCTTAAATATAATTCCTTGTCAGAACTTGACGGATAGCCCTGGGGACTCAATTAATTTACATGACAGTATTTCTTAACTACTAGCCTTACATCACAGCATTTAAAGGCTCCTATCTATATACTTCTCGGGCCTTTGAAGGAACAATCCACTTCTCTTATTCCTTAAATGGAAGTATCTTTCTATTTGATGTATCCCTTTCTGTAGGATTACAGCCTGAAGGAATGCTCCACTGACAATCAAATAGCAGCAAAATACAAAAACCGACGGTCATGTTACAGAACACCACTTTTGTGGAGAAACAGTGACATCCAGTGGCCATTAAGTAAACCTGAATTCCGGCTGCTTGTGAAAACAGCCTCAATAGGAAATTCTTCAAAAACACCAAAAAGGGGTTGCAAGCATACACTTGTGAAAATTATAGTCATTCGCTTACTCTTTGTATCAAAATAGTTAAGAGAAACATGTCTAATTTAAAAACTCAAGTTCCAAATAAGGCTGGTTTTGATGACGCAGTGATGTTCCATAAATATAAAATTACGCAGCCAAGGGTCTTTAAACACAGCTACTACGCAAGGCCTTTGGACCTGCAGACAAAACTGCAAAAATACTGCAGTATTCCCAACGTGTCTCTGCCTTAGCCCTCGTTTTCCCTATATGCTGATGTTTTGGGGCAGTTGCTAACACAGCAAAACACTAAATGTATCCAAACCCCAGTATAACAGGGTTATCTCATTTGTCTCCTTAAAATAGATAGAAATACTTTTTTGAAAAAGCAGAAAGACAAAACCCCTGAAGTCTTGAAATCTTTTTTTTTTTTTTTTAAGAGAGAACAGACTAGAAATTAAGTGATGCTATAAGAAAAAAGCACAAAGGCCACTCACAAAGCTCAGGTTGCAGCAGGATTAAAAGAAGTTATCAGAATGTGTTGTCTATATGGCAGCGTTAGGATTATCCCATTTTAATAGCACATAGACTCTGGCTAAAGCCTATTCAGTTCTTATTTTAGTTACGAATAGTTGGCTCTAAGCAAATTGAATTGAGGTACCACCACACTGTAAGAAAAACAAATGTCATATCTTAACATCAGTCACTCTTATTGCCTGGTACCTCTTGCTTTGTCTTTTGTTCATAACTTCAGCGTAAACAACACGTTATGCAAATTCATATTTACATTTCCATGTAATTTACATTCCCCTAATTCACATCATTTAAGATAAATTGCAAAGATTTTTCCTTATTAACGAACAAATCCCTTGCAGCCATCTCTTCCAGCTAGTGACTGCCATTTCCCCATTAGCGGGGGATCAGAGCCTGGGGAACACAGCTCCTACAAGAGAAGTGGGAGCCCAGCACAAGTGTCCCCGTGTCCTCGCAGTGACCCACCCCAGAGTCCGGCTCTGCACTTCATGCAGGTAGTGCTGCAGCACTACAGCATCTGGGGATTTCACTCCTTGTACTTTGGCTGTAAGGATGTGCTGTTCTGCGTCATTTCTAGCAAACCAAATGCAGAGCTTCAGCACAAGCCCCACCTGAAGAAATCTTCCTACAGGGCTGGGGACAACAGCACCCAGACACATTCTGTTTCACACAATCAGCTCAGGCTGCCTAAACTGGGTCTGAGCTGCTCCCCACAACCACAAAATGCCTGAACTTCCCCCCCCTCTTCCCACTGGTTATCATCTCAGGTGCAACTGAAGAACCAAGCAGGCTCCACTCACGGACCACCCACCCACAGGAACACCAGAAGGACCAGCAGTGGTGATGGTTCAACATAGGCTTGGCTCAGGCTGAACAAAGCTGGAGCGAGCACACACTGGGAAGCTGGTGCAGACCCACTCAGACCACTATGCATCCCACCCACAGGGTCTTCCCCATTCTTGCAGAGCAGACCAAACCCCAAACATTGCCTAGGGAGTCCGGGCAACACACCGCATTTGAGCAACGCTGCTGCAATGGTTCTCCTTCAGCCAGACTCTGGAGAAAGGGCACCTGCCATCTACAGACTTGGATCTAAAGCAACCTGCCCCCCCACAGCCTGCATTATCAGACCAGTTTGTGCCTGGAACTGTTACCACACAGCATAGATTAATTATTAAAAGAACTTGAGAAAGGACATCTCTTAATTATAAGCCAGAGGAGATAAAGCAGCCAGTTTTACCATGAAGCAAATCATCATCAGCAAAAAATAATAATAAAAAAATTAATGTAAACTTTTTCAGTGTCACCTCTGGACTGTAAATTGCTCCGTGAGTTTTACACACTACTGAGCAGACAGCAGGCTATGAGACACCTAGTCAGAAGTGACAGAATCAGAGAATGGTTGGGGTTGGAAGGGACCTCCGGAGGCCACCCTGCCCAGCCCACCTGCTCACTACGGCCACCTAGAGCCCATTGCCCAGAACCACGTCCGGATGGCTTTTGAGCATGTCCAAGGAAGGAGTCTCCCCCACCTCTCCGGGCAAAAGCAAAAGCAGCAATTGCAGGAAACCTCAAGTAATCTACGGGAAGGCTCTCCTAAGGTAGAAACAGCAAATGTTTACAGAACTTCAGATTTCTGCAAGCACAGCCTATAGATGGCTTGGCAGACAGGGAAACAAGCCCTGCCACTGGGGGGGTAAGGGGGCACAGAAAAGAAACCTATCCTGGTTATAACCATAAAAAACACAAAACTGTTACAATGTGCAGTTTTCCATGAAAACAGTAGCATATTTTGTTTGGCCACGATTGCATTCCAATCTGTGCCAAGAATGCACTGCTGTACAAGTGATGTACTGGTGATGTTAAATTGAAAGCTGAAATTCATTACTTACCACAGACACTTGGTGATGTTAAATTGAAAGCTGAAATTTTCACACCAACACTACAGTGGATGAGTCAATCAAAATGGTGCATAACACAGGATTACCAGTAAAAAGCAAAGTGCACCAGCACAGAAATACTGCGCACAGCATACAGATGCCAAGACCCCCATTTCAGGTTAAGCAGCTGTCAAAATTCAACAGATGAAGGCATCAACAGCCACAACCCTTACAGCCTAGTTTTTCTGTGAACACACATGGATGACAACATCTACCTTCTACGACCCACCACTACAGTTGAACTAAACCATTCTAAACCCCACCCTTTAAAAAAAAAAAAACAAAACACAGAAAGACAACCTAGACTTCAGTGGAATCACTACATGAAACACTTAAACCAGGAAATTGCTGTGCTGCCATTCAGTATTGAGAGCAGTTGCCACTAGAGCCTTATAGGCCTCCCCACTGCGTGCCCCTGCAACAGCAGCAACTCCCACTGCAGTGAGCCCTTCCCCAGATGTGTTCTATGTAGCACAGCCAACCAGAGCAACAACCCACAGCTGCTTCTCTAAAATTTACTCTGAACCAGTTGCCACCAGAATTGACCAGTTTTTCCCCTTAATCAGTACTCACAGTTGCTCATAGAGCCCCAGCAGAGCATAGCAAAGCCCAACTCACTTCATGGCAGTGCCACACAGTGAAACTGCTCACGCTTGGGACAAGTAGAGTCAATTTAAACACAAATTCACAGCTGCAGTGACACCCACCCCACTGTATGGACTCACACCACCTTTATTTGCCTTGTGGCTTTCCAGGGTCTTTAAAACATATTATCCTTCCTGGAAATAGAGGTGCATTAGACTCTAGAAGAAGAAAGAACATCGTATTAGTGCTTAAATTAAGACTTTAATCCAGATCTGTTTTCAACCATAAGGTCCTCATTATACAAAGAGGCTTAAATCACCATGGAAAAAGCTGAAGTAAGAATGTCACTTAAATACACCAGTTTTACGAGCTTAAACTGAGACAGACTACAACTTGTAATGTGCAACAGAAACTTTATTAGCATTTCAAACAGTTGTTCAGCTGTTACTTAAGCTGGCATTAACTTTGCATTTAATTTAAGACATTGAAGAACTACAGTGCAAACACAAGTGCTACTGACAATCTTGTTGTCAAGCAAGATGGACAATAATTTAACAGCCACCCCTCAGGCGCAGCACAAGATGCAGGGTGGATTCTTTCTGGATGTTGTAGTCGGACAAGGTGCGTCCATCTTCCAGCTGCTTGCCAGCGAAAATCAGCCTCTGCTGATCGGGGGGAATGCCTTCCTTGTCCTGGATCTTGGCCTTCACATTCTCAATGGTGTCACTGGGTTCAACCTCGAGGGTGATGGTCTTGCCAGTCAGGGTCTTCACGAAAATCTGCATGCCACCCCTCAGGCGCAGCACAAGATGCAGGGTGGATTCTTTCTGGATGTTGTAGTCAGACAGGGTGCGTCCGTCTTCCAGCTGCTTGCCTGCAAAGATCAGCCTCTGCTGATCGGGGGGAATACCTTCCTTGTCCTGGATCTTGGCCTTCACATTCTCAATGGTGTCACTGGGCTCGACCTCGAGGGTGATGGTCTTGCCAGTCAGGGTCTTCACGAAAATCTGCATGCCACCCCTCAGGCGCAGCACAAGATGCAGGGTGGATTCTTTCTGGATGTTGTAGTCAGACAGGGTGCGTCCGTCTTCCAGCTGCTTGCCTGCAAAGATCAGCCTCTGCTGATCGGGGGGAATGCCTTCCTTGTCCTGGATCTTGGCCTTCACATTCTCAATGGTGTCACTGGGCTCGACCTCGAGGGTGATGGTCTTGCCAGTCAGGGTCTTCACAAAGATCTGCATGTTTCACTATAAAACATACAAAAAATTCAGCTTTAGCTAGTTAGTGAAACACAGTCTTTAACGATTTCTAAATAAACGGATTACTGCTGCTTATTTCACACTATATAAATATTACTCAGTATTTACTTTGTGTTTTTCACTAGTGTTTTCTACAACCATTCTTGAACTCTTACCCTCGACTAACTAAACACCTTCCCGACACCCAATATGCTATACTCCTATAGCAGAATCTTTACACTGCTTCTCTCCAGCCGGGCGCTAGAACACCCGCCCC